AAAATAATAAAAAAAATTGTACAAAAATTACACCCCTTTAAATATTGAGTTCAGGTGAGAGGAATTTAAGAATGGAAAAAAGTTATTTCTTTGTATGTATAAAAAAAATTGCAAGTAATTGGACGTGGCAATATATGGTTGGTTATTGACGGTACTCTAACCAAAGCGAACCGGAGGGGAAGCCAAAAACCTATATTAAATACAGGAAATTTAATCTACTAGAACACTCCAATCATCTTCTTATCGGGGAAGGCAACGACTCAGCAGATCGTTCGGTCAATTGATTTCATCTAATTCGTGAGTTATTCTTCTGATCATCCTTTTCTGATTTTCGATCTGATTTTCCGTCGGATTTGTACTGTGTTTGGTTGGTGAGAAAACAGAGTAAGACGATAAGAAAAAAGTAATTAAATATTCAATTTGTTCTGTTTAGGTTCCTCATGATTTTGAGTTCTTTACCTGAATTATCCGTTTTTAGTGTTATTTATAATTCGAATTCAGAGCTTTTGGTTCCGATTTTCTCACGATCGGTTCTGCATAAATTTCTTGGCTTAATTTGATGATTGCTCAGGTCAGGAGTCAAGAAAATGGCGAGAAGTGGTTTCAAGCTAGAGCATGACTTAGGTATGTTATTTGATGATCAAATATTGTTGCTTTATGTTTATTGGCTTCATTCAGATATCTCTTTGATCACGAATTTTTAATATCTTCAGAAAAGAGGCGTGCTGAAGCTGCAAGAATTAGGGAAAAGTATCCGGATAGAATTCCAGTAAGAATTAAGCTTTAGTATATAATTGATTTTGTTCTTTTCTTCTTTTGAATCTGCTTGCTGCTAAATTTATACCTGAATGCTTGGTGTTTTTCTTTATGGCTTCAGGATAAACTGGTATGTGGCTTTTGAGTATGCGTAATTGTGTTTGTTGATATTCATATAAGTTGTCAACCATGTAGTTAATTGCATTCTGATAAATTACAGTAAGAAAGCGTCAGCGAGCCTGTTAGTTAGGTTGCTGAAAAATGTTCTTTGATGAAGAAAGAATTCCTAAAATTTGAATTTAAGGAATTGTAGTCCCTAACTGATGCGGCGCTTTCACTTATCTTTACTTACCTTGGATTCTAGTAGAGGAGGGCTTTATTTATGTATTTATGCAAGTATGCTTCGTGTCTTGCATCCAAATTTTGCTTTTGCTTACAGGATATTAGTTGAAACTGATGATTTGTGATGGTTTTATCTTTTAAGTTAAGAAACACCTCTTTCACATTGCAAGACTGTTGATGATTTGGAGAAGGCATTGAGTTTTGGAGTCCAATTGCACTTAGATTTGCTTGACCTATTATGCCACTGCAACTCTTAAGTTAAATCCATCTAAAGGATGACCATGGTGTTAGTTATATTCATTCCAATTAAGACATTTTACACTAGATGAAAAGCCCCTATGTGTGAAAAGGACCTAAGCAAAGGTCTGGTGTTGATAAAGAACTTATTTTTCTGGCCTTACAAATCCTTTCATGGTGTTTCAATTTCTTTCATAAAACTTGACCATCACAATATGCTATGGCTTAGTGGCTTAAAAGATTGATGCATGATGTGATTGAAGAAGAAAGAGTTTTGCTCTTTTAAGGTGCACCTAATTATAACAGCTATTGACCAGGCAAAGGCACAATATTTGTACTTACCATGCACATCAAGTTAGCATAAATCAGTCCCCTCCAAACTGTCCCCACCTCCCAATGACAATCAAACTTGTCTGAAGTGTATAGGTGGTTGATTTTTATGTGATGGTATGATATGCTCAAGGGAAGAGAAATTATTTAAGATGTGAAAGGTTTAAATCAGAGTGATTGTATTGGTTTACTTGGTTGGTTGATGAATGACAGTGGTTAATGGATCACTTGTTCCTTTGTGATATCATAATTGTACTTCTATTGACCTTTTGTCTCCGCTATTTTTAGGTTATTGTGGAGAAGGCAGAAAGAAGTGATATTCCTAACATTGACAAGAAAAAGTAAGTGGTTATTAGTTCAACAACTTTGCTGTGATCATGGGGATATAATTGAAGCTTTTTTCTTTTTTTGTCATTTTTTTCTTTTCAAATATTGTCATAGTAAATATAATGATTATGCTCAATACATTAAGTGCCAGTCTGCGTTTTAGTGACCACTTTTAAACCAGTATCTTTCTATGTTAAGATCCAAATCAGTATTTTACCGAGTCAATTGTAGTTTCAAAGATCCTTGAAGTGCCTTTGTCTAATGACTTGGTAAAAAAATGGCCAGATACCTAGTCCCAGCTGACCTTACAGTCGGTCAATTTGTGTATGTAATCCGAAAGAGGATTAAGCTGAGTGCAGAGAAGGCAATCTTCATATTTGTGGACAATGTCCTCCCTCCAACAGGTATTGCCTAGCACAATATTTCATTTCTCCTTGGCATTCCTCATTCCCCTCCTTTCTCTACACTTTTTTCCCTTTTTATTTTCATAACATTAATAGTGCTGTCAATACTCTTCAAATGGTGACTGACATTCATCAGTTTTTCAAGCGTGTATAAGTAATAATCTATTATTATTCTGCAGGAGCAATAATGTCAACAATCTATGACGAAAAGAAGGATGAAGATGGATTTCTCTATGTTACATACAGTGGAGAAAATACATTTGGCTAGTACACCATTCACTCCACGTACATAAATATTGTCGTCTTAAATAATAAAGGCCTCACGATGCCAGTATTAATTACCCGTGCTGTTATTGCATGTACATTAATATGTATATATATATACCCTCTTTGTATGAAATCAGATTATGTGATGTCTCCAAGTTTCCATCTTTGTCTATTCTCAGGACAATATCTATTATGGGAATTAGAAAGGTTGGCAATTCAAGAATTTTACATCTCCGATCTTATTCTTTCTTTCTAAATACTAGTAGGAATTCGCATTAAGGTGTGTTTGTATAGTTTTTTTAAACACAATTTTCCTTTTTCTTTCAAGGAAAACAAATTAATACATGTTTTATGTCAATGATAAGATAATTTTTAATTGGTTATCTATCTATAAAAAAAATGGGTACGAATTAATACATATTTAAATAAATAAGAATGAAAAAAAGAAAAAAAAGATTTGTAAGGTTAGAACTTGTACAAGAGATTGAACCTGAAGGTCGAAACACAAAGTTCCCTTTATTGACAATACTTTTGGTAGCATCGACTTCGATAGAATTCAATTCAAGTTAAAAATGATGGGTTGCATGCACATTAAACATTTCATTTAACCGATGGAAAACCATGGCTGAGGCAAGTTGTGGAATACAGGCTTGAGCATGTATGCTTCTTTCCAACATAACTAAGCTTTTGAAGTGCCGTAGAGACAACGAAGCCGAGCCCCACCGAGACTGCCCGACTTTTACAAGACATACGGATTCGAGCCGATATGTCAACGCCCTGCCCGAATCCCCACACCTCCTATTGGGACCTGAGCCTGTCGCGCCGTCGCTCTTAACCAAACCCAACAATCTTCAAACATCCCGAGGCTGCCATGCCATCCTAAATGCTCGGTAGTCCTTGAAACTTCAAAAGTCGAAAATCAAAGCAGATGAAGAAAAACAGGAAAAACTTCAAGTATGTTAGAAAGGGTTGGGTAAAACTTCAAAATTACTTGTTTTAAAATCATTATCTTTAACAAATTTAAAATTTTGTTAAAAAATATTTCAAATTAACTTTTTAAGTAAGTAAATATTATATGGAAAAAGTGTTATCGATCTTACTCCTAAATATAATGAAAATTTTAATTTTAAATTATATTATTTTATTTAATTAAAATTTAATTTAAAATTTAAAAAATTATTTTATTAAATATTAATATATTAAAATATATAATAAAATTTTAAATTTAAATATCAAAATTTAATAAAATAAAATTTTAATTTTTAAATATACATTAAAATTCTAATTATTTTTAAAAGTTAAAACAAAGATGCACTAATTTCATATCATATATTTAATTTTTTTCAAAATTTATTTAAAATTTTATTTTAAAAAATAATTTTTAAATTTTTTACTAACAAAAATTTAAATTTATAAAAAAAAATAAATAATATTTTAAAAATAATTTTTTTTTAGATTTCACTAAAGTTCCTCTAGACTCACATCCAAAAGCACAATGATATGTTTCATTCTGAAAAAAAACAAATTTTAAGGCCATAGCCCATAGGTGGACCACAAAAGAGGCATGGGGTTATGGCGGCCGAAAGTGGGGCAGCGTCCACGTGTCAATTCAGTGAGTCACATGGGGTGCATGCCACGTGTCATGCGAGGCGGCATTAACGGTTAGAGCACTCCCATTGTGTTTCGCGCAACATCAGCAAGGTAGTGGTGGTCCATGTACTCGTGTCTCCCTCTGTGTTTTTTTCTGTCTCAAAATGGGTCCCAATGGCCCCACCTCTGCTTCGTTCTTTAGGCCCCACGCTCGTCGTTATTCGGTAATTTTCCTAACTGCCATGCTACCAAAATTGTGGAAAAACACAGGATTATAACTTCCGTTTTTCCCTTCCCCTTAACATTATAAACAAATTTTAAATAAATTCGTTCCAGGTTGAAAATTAAAAAAAAAAAAAATTTAAAGAAAAATTATTGTATGTAAATAAAAATGAAAAGGTGAGCATCCACAAAAAAAAAAAAGAAAAAAAAGAAATGGTATAGGAATTTTAGTTCTCAGGTTAATTACACATATATGAAAGTAATCGCTACTTTTCTTTCTCTTGTGCTGCGACTCGATTACAGATATTCGAACACACAATGAGATTATTGAGCCCCATTTGGCCAAAAGGAAAAAGGACTATATCATTAGTAATGGATATATAGTTGTTAATGAACATTAATTGGGTGGCTATTTGGTGCACTTGAAAAAAAAAAAATTATGTCAACACTTCTACAGTGTGCATGGTCTGGTTCAAGGTTTCACGGGACACAGGGACCTAAAGGAATTTTTGGCAAAAACATTGCAATTGCTCCACTGTTCCCCTTACTTTCAAGCAATTAACAAATACACAAAGCTCATGGTTCAAAACCCCCCCATTATTATTATTTTTTTGCAAAATTAATTAACCATTGGCAATAATGAAAAAGGATTCTTGTTTTATGAACTAGGATTACAATATTCATGGGGTAATTAAGTTTCCCTAGGTATAGAAAATGGTGGGGAAAAAGAGCAAGAAAGAAAGAAGGAAGCACAAACCCTAGAAAGAAGCAACTTGCTTTTTGTTTGAAGTAAATCAGTAAATGTCTTACTTCAAATTTTTTTTTTTAATTGTTTCGAGGGAAAATGTCTATTTTAGATTACTCTCTCTCCAACAGGATCGTCTCTCTCTCTCTTTATGATTTTGATCTCCATATATATGATAGATAAAGGTTAATTTTGCTTCTCTTTCGCTGTGGGTTAACCCAAAATGCGAATTGAAATGTGAAAGAGAAGGGACACATGCCCATATCTTCATCTTTCTTTCTTACCTCTTCAATTCACCAAGATACATGCATTTAATGCTCTTAATTAATACAAATAGCCCCACACCACTGCTATTCCCCAGCATTGCTCACTCGCACATCCTTTCAAACAATCCTCTTATACACCCTCTTCTTCTTTTCATTTCTTCCTTAACATGTCAATCAAATCTTGCATTTTCCTTTTTATTTTGTGCCTTTCTTTGTATGAATGTCACGGCCTTCGTCCCACTGTTTTTGAGAAAAATTCCATTAACGTTAGTGCAAAGATCTAGTAACATAATTTCCTTTGTCATTATAATTATATTACTTAGTTTCTTTAGCGTCGCTTTAATAATTACACTTTTCTGAATATGCATGTGCAGAAGCAGAAGAACGTGAAGATTTCAGATGTAGTACCAATGATGAAGAAACCGATGCTGTCGAAAGAAGGTGGATTTCCAAAAGAAGAAAGCGCTAAGGACAAGGTTAATCATAAGCTAAAAGATGGAAAGGCCAAAGTACAGAGCGCAAAAGCCCTCACTTCTTCTTCTCAAATAACGGAGTCTCCTCTTGGTTCAGTTTCATGGCGCGTGCCCCATCACGAGGAACACGACGAGCAAAATCCTGGCTTCAACGTGGATTACTCATCCCCAAAAACGCATCCTCCTTCTCACAACTGAAACCTAACCTACGGTAATATATCTATATATATATATATATAGTAGCTAGCTCTTATTATTTCGTCTAGACTGAGATATAAAGAGTCGCATATATATGCAAGGGCCTCATGAAAACTGTTGTCCATAATTTTCAGCAGAGCCATAACAATATTAATATATCGACCATGTCCATGACTAATTAATTATTATAACATATATATAAAGAGACAGTGAGAGAGAGAGCTGAGCTATTTAGATGAATTTATTGTGAGTTTTAAATCCTTCTCCTATATATTTAATGTACAACAAAATATATATGTAATTTCTCACTGATGAGAATGAGAATTATTTTCTAGACAATATTATATATTTGTTCTTCGTCTCCACCATTAATCTATCCTTTTTTCTTTTTTCATTTTTTCTGACTTAGAGTTTTGAGAAATTAATTAATAACTTAATTCTCTTAATATTAGCCACATGCATTATATATAAGCATGTAATCCATGCATGTGTTAATTTTGTGGAAACATATGTTAAATATATACGAAACAAGTGAAAATTCCTGATAATCGGCAAACTTGTCCCGCCTGAAAAACCGATGCAGATTTTTAATGCTATATTCTTTCCTCACTCCGAGCAATGGCGGATGGAATGTATCTGCATATATATAAATGCTCGGATGGAATGTATCTGCATATATATATATACATATATATATATAAGTATGGGATTCATATGCATGCATGCAAAAGCATGGCGTTTGACTTCTTCTTCCCCCTCTTCGGATAACACATGGATGTATATGATCATCACATCTATCGATCTAATTTAACGTTATAATTCATATATGCATATGTACAATGCCATCTCTTAATCTATTGGTTTTGATGACATAAAAGGGAGATTAAGAAAAAAAAAGAACGATTTCCATTGATGGAGATGAAAAAAAGAAAGTGAAATTACTTTATATATTAAGAAAAGAAAGCGAAATGTCCATAAAAAAATGAAAGAAATGAAAAGGCTTGGAAATATTTACGGTATGGAAGAGATATAAATTGGCTGAAAATGGGTGTAAATGAAAATATTGAAAGATATGATACATCTAGGACATTAATTGATTGCCGATCAGTATATATGCAGTGTAGGTGCGGTAGTTGGTTTCTTATTGAATGAGGTCGTCGTTATATGTCATTTTCTACATATGTCATAGCATTGTCCATGTTTTATAGCCTTTCAGACTTCAAATTCACATGCTCCAGTCCTTTTTTTTTTTGTTTTTTAGTAGAAAGAATTTGGTTCTTTTTAGATAAAATTTTAAATTACTTAAAATATAATATAATTTGTGAATATTAGAGAATTAATATAAAAAGACCTTGCATTTGGTTGAATGTAGCCCTTTAATTTGCCCTTTTTTTAATTTTATATATAAGGGGTTTAGAGGACATAGTTAAAAATTTTAAATGATATAAAGATACGTAAAATCACTAGAATGAGTGTCCCTTCAGTCTAGCACAAATTTAATTGGGATGATGTCCAAATTTTAAAAGGATGGTAGAAAATCAGTTATTTTTTACCATTAAAATGATATGAATATAATACTTAAAAAATTAAATGCTCTTAATTTATCATTATACCAAAAAAAAATTTATTAAATATATTTAACTAATTTTATAAATAATTCTAAAAAAGAAGTTCTAATGTTCACTTTTCTCTTTTTTAAAATCCTAATACACTCCCACATTCAAATCCTTAAACAGGGGCGACAGTCCTGCGAATTTGGGCATGTTCCAAGGCACAAACTGCATGCTCATTGCCCATGCCTACGCCATATATGGACTGATGGGCCAACTCCAAAGCATTATCTGGGTCTCAATTATCTGGTTCACGGTATTAACTCTTGGGCTCAACATTTGGCTTAATAAAATCCTTGGGCTTGAACATTACACAAACCCTTTCTTTTGGGCTAACATAATAAGCCCAGACTTCCGCCATGCTCCTAAATTTGGCAAAAATCCTTCTTAACCTCTTAAACTTATCTCAAAATAACATTTAAACCCCTAAACTAAAAAGAAAACAGATAAACCCTTCAACTCTACTAACGATACAAATAAATCCTTCTTATAAATGGACCAAACAGTATTTCATATTTAATATTACCTTAAAAGCATAAATACCGATGAATGAGAAGAATTTATTTGTATTGTTAGTGGATTAGAGGGTTTATCTGCTTTATTAAATGAAACAAATAAACCCTCTAACTCTATTAACAATACAAATAAATCCTTCTCATAAATGGGCCAAACAATATTCCATATTTAATATTACCTTGAAAGCATAAACACCGATGAATGATAATGATTTATTTGTATTATTAGTGGAGTTAGAGGGTTTATCTACTTTATTTTTAGTTTAGAAGTTTAAATGATATTTTGGTGAAAGTTTACGGGCTTAAAAAGGGTTTTTGGTTTGCCCCCAAAATTTCCCATTTCTATTTTCCAGTTCCCAAAATTTCCCCCCCTAAAATTTTAAATCCCTTTACAGAACGAATGCTTCAGATTCATACAGACAGTGGAAAGAAATGGATGCGAAACAAGCAGGTTCCTCTCTTGATTCTCTAATGTCCTCCTTCAACACTCGAATCACAGAGCTACAGGAACTCATTATCGCCAGGAACAGTGAGTTCCATGCCTTGTTTCCCCCCCTTTTTCCTTTTTGTTCGTTATTTGGTGAATCTGAGGCCGATTTGTTAGGTTGACGGTTATGCTTTGGCTTCGCAGTGTATCCGGCGAGCACCGTGGCAGATTTGTCGGCGGTTGATGCGGCGTTGAAGGCGATGGAGATGCAGGTGCAGATGATCAAGGATCGATTGCGTGAGGAGACCGAGGCCATACCAAAAGCAAAGGTAATTTTCTTCTTTTTCTTCGTCTCTTTTTGTAGCATTGTTTTAGCATCCGAATATGCGACTCTTTGGCTTCTGGAAAAATTGGAATGTTGGATTAAATTACGTTTAATTGCTTGAGAAAGTTAGGTGAAAGGAATTGAAATTTTAGATTTGGAATGGATTAATCAAATAAAATGATCATTGGAGGTTGATGGAGTTGAAATCTCATTTTTTACTGAGCATAATTCAACAATTTTGGCCTCAATTTGAGGCTTCATTGTGTCTGAATCATGTTCTGACTTGTGGAAGCAAAGGATTTTTTTTTTATATATAATTAATGTGTTTTTTGGAAAATTTTTGATTGAGTTGAGTTGCTTGTGTAATTTCAGAAACTCATTGATGCATCGCTGCGGCAGCAGAAGAAATTGCAGAATATGTCTGTTCATGTTCCACTATATTTACCTGAAAGAATGTCTACCTTAAATTTAAACGTCAATAGAGGGTAATTTCGTTTCTTTCCTAAACTTTATTGGTCATTTGGTTGCCAATATCTCAAGCTCAAGCTCAAGATAAATATAGATATATATATCCCTAACAAATTCAGTCAGATTGAACTGCATTTCCCTATACATTGATATCGTAAATGCTTGATATTTTTTTGATTCAGTTTGATGACAGAAGCCTTTGAACAACACCGAGAACAACTGCCTAATATTGCCTCTTCAAAACTTGAGGAGCGCTCTACGTTACCTAAGGTATGCACAATCTAACTGATGCTCAAGAGGGTGGGTGATATGGGAGATGGAGGACGGAGGCTCATATCCAAAGATATTGAAATGTTTGAATTTCCTTTTCAAAAGGAACCTTGCTTCTGCCTATTGTCAGCTCCAAATTTGTCACCTTTTCTGAGAATGGGGAGGTTTCTTAAAATTAAATTGCAACAATTTTCCAAATGATGAGGAATGCCAATTCTCATTATTTATGTGATATTTATGCGGAAATGGATATGATGCAAACAAGGAAAGATGAAGTTGGAAATTTATGGGAATTCTTGTACTTGTTCTGTAGTGCCAGGAGAAGAAGGGTCGCGCACCAGCACCACTATGGTACATAACTACTACTGAGCTGGATTCTCTGCCTTCGTAAGCACCTGTTTCCTTCTATGCAATTTTTACTATCAGAATGAATCCCTAGCATATCACAACACTGGTGCTTGTCTTATAAAGGAACACAAGTACACAACTTTGTTTTTCTGCTAAATATTTGGGTTCTATGCGTGACAAATATTCCAGTTAATGTTATGTATTATGTACTACTGCCCCATGTCAATTTCTTTTTTTGATCCTTTCACTGCAGATATATGAGAGGAAGGCTCACACTTGAGAAAGTTAATGCAGCTATTAATGACATGGCAACATATGCTGATGCAAATGCACAGCTTATTGCGGCTCCAAAGAAGAAGGTTTATGTTCAGTTGTTCAATATTTTATTAGTTCCATTTAAGTTCTTAATCATGCAGCTTTAATGACAATTTATTGTTTTCGTGAAGCTGGCAGAAAATCTTTGGGAAAGAGCTCTGGTAAGTGAACCTGAATTAGTTAAAAAAACTGGTATTTCTCTGTTTGGGTGTCTTGCAAAATATGAGTTATATTATTTTCTCAGAACAATAAAGCACCAAGAACATTTATTTAAAAGATGTTTCAGAGATTCTTGTAAGAACTAATATTTTCATCACAATATTTGAGATATTGACACCAATTTTCCATTTCAAATGACATGTAACCTTCGAGTGCTGAACACTGATAACCTTCTGATTTTTGCACTGTGCTGAATACTGCTACATTCAGGAATTGAGAGACATTGCTATGACGGAAACAGTGAAGGGGAAACATTTTTTCCTTGAAACGGACATGAAAGGACCAACATTGAAGCCTGACAACACTGGAAAAGCAATACTGACTGTGAGTCCCTCTTCCCCTTCTTCTGGACCCTTTGCTATTAATACGTGTGATAAACTGCCCATTAAATTTAAGTCCAATTCACAATGTTATGGGCTGATATATCATATCTACTTTTATTCCTGCTTTGTGTCTAGAGGTGGAAGTTATTTACATCTTCATATAAGCACGTTGTCCTTCATGCATTCCAAGATGAAAATTTGCAAAATATATAATATTTAGTGGCTGTTCATGAACAACTGAGAAAAATGTTATGATCTGTATCATGCTGTTCAACAGGTCCTACGGCACCTTAGTCGCATCAGTGAAACTCGTATTGGACATCACCGAGTGATAATTCTTTCAAAGCCTCAATGATTCACCCGGATTCCCAATCACCCTACTATCACATACGTGTTTATCCGTCTCAAAGTCTGAAAATGAGCATGGATGTCGAAATTTTAGGATTCAAGGATTCAAAGATTCAAATCTATAAGCTAAGAGGAATGGTAAAGTCTGCTAAGGTTTCTAGTTGTGTGTTCATCTTGATTGGAAACCTTGTGCCTTTGTGCACCAAAAGGCATTCCGCTATGTCATCCTGCAGTCCAAGATTGACTCTCATTATACAGAAAAGTGAAACTGCATCTTTACTGTGTTACATGAAGTTCTGTAAACTTTGTGGTAAGAATCACATGCGTTAATGTTGACCTTCTTACCCCATGATTACGGACAAAGATAATATTCCTCACATATCAATTTCATCCTCGTTTTCTTTCATCAGTAGAGACAGATTAATGGTGTTACATTACATAATTTAAGTTCTGATTTGCTCAAAGGAGAAACAGGATCATTTCAGAAAAAAGTGTACTTCATTTGCTCAAATGGTAAACAAATTTTGACTTTGTTTAGGAAATGTTTCTCAGTGTATCTGTTCTTGTTTTTGTTTTTTTCTCTTTTTTTTATGTGTGTTTTTATTATTCTAAAATGCTTTACCCACCCCAGACAATAGGTATCACTTTGAAAGTAGTTTGTTGATCAAAATTTTTCAAAAAGTAACTGAAATGTCATCTCAAAGGATAGAAAAACACAATCAAGAAGAAGAAGGGCAGTGCTTTTTTGATAGAAGGGTAATTCGATTTTGCTTCTTCTCTTCCAGTAATGGACAGAAACCAGCTAAGCCGATCGAGGCGAAAAAATGGACTTGAAGACTAGACAACAGAGAGAAACCTTCAAAAGCAAATGAGTCGTGTTTTTTTAATTTGGTAGCAGCGAAATAATGATACATTAAGCACTGCACCGAGGCATAAAATCATGGCCTACTCCCCAAGTTGCACCGCCAGCCTAATGTAGATCTTGATTTTTTTTTTTTTTAATTGAACTTTTTCAATATTCAAAAGTTATATTAGATTTTATTAATTTAAAGTAAAATTGGATCAAATCCTATAAGAGATAAACTCTTTTAGCATTTGTTTTTTTATTAATGAAATTTAAACATAAAATTTAATTTAAAAGAAATTAAACTTTTTTTATTCAGACTAATAAGTGATTAATAATGCAGATCTTGATAAGATGAAATAATGCTCACATGGGTCTCTTTGTGTTAATTTGTTTAATCCCTAAATGCCCCCAAATCCCATCTATAAAAACCCTTAACCTAGCTCCTTGTAGCCACCACCTCAAATACGTAAATATCATACCATTCACTTTAGTAACAGAGTTCAAGAGCTTGAAATGGCCTCCAAGGCTGCTGCAACCACTGCTCTTCTCCTCTCCCTAAACATTCTCTTTTTCACTTTGGTCAGTTCAACTTACGTCCCTTGCCCACCACCACCGGCACCAAAGACTCCAAAATGCCCTTGCCCCCCAAAGAACGCTCCGAAGAACCCTCCAGCTAAGCCTGTTCAGGCCACTTGCCCAAGGGATACCCTAAAGTTAGGGGTATGTGCCAACTTACTGAATGATTTGGTTCACATTGTTGTGGGAACCCCACCAAAGACCCCTTGCTGCAGTCTCATCCAGGGTCTTGCTGACCTTGAAGCAGCTGTCTGCCTTTGTACTGCCATCCAAGCCAACGTTTTGGGCATTAATCTCAATGTCCCTGTCTCCTTGAGCTTGCTTTTGAACTACTGTGGAAAAAACATCCCACAGGGGTTCCAATGCGCCTAGACGTTCATTGCTGCCATGCACAATCGACATTCTCTCCATCCTTCTTGGCGGAAAATAAATCCTTGGAGTCATTTTCTACCCATTTCATGATCTTTTTTGGGTTACTTTTATTGGTTTTGTTTTAAGTATCATATCATGTATGGTTTTGAGGTGGTTTAGTTGTGGATAAATGCATCCCAACTACAGCCCTAATGAAACAAAGAGACCCATATGCTTGGGGAAGTAATAAAAGCATCTATTCTTTCAAAATGTCTTGCATAATTTGAGATATATGCAGCCAAAAATTGCTATTACTAAGAATCTCTTTATCTGTTCCGGAGATTATGTTGTGATGGCTACATTTCCATTTTGCCTGGTTAAATGAACCAAAGAGTGGAGTTTTTTATTGGTCATTCTTGGCGGTGATCTATGGCTTATTATCTCCCAATATAATAAACAAAACTCTTATGACTGGCTTGATAAGTTTACTTATTATAAATAATTTGTCTGTTTCCTTTTGGATTTCTCCTTCAAATTTGGTATTAAGAGATTGATAAAAGAAGACAAATTTATGCTATGTAAAGCAAGAAAGAAGCGACATTACAATGGGAAAACACCCAATACATTAAGAATAAGGTTAAAACCCCATTTTGGTCCCTCAACTATTGTATGAACCTCTGATTTGGTCCCTAAACTAAAAAAATCCCTGATTTGGTCCCTAATGTTTACCATTTTTATCCCGATTTAATCCTTCCGTTAAAAATTGACTGACGGAAAAAGATGACAGCATGGCAAAAAAAACAATGATATGGCAAAAAAAACAATGACATGGTAAAAAAAACAATGACATGGCAAAAAAAACCTTAAAATATTTCCTTTTCCCTTTTTTTCTTTTTTTCTTCCTTTGATTTTCCCTTTTTCCCTTTCATCTTCTTCCTTTCCTTTCACCTTTTGTAAACCCTAACACCTTCTAACATTAAATCAAAAAATAATACAGAATCTCCCCAAACCAGTCACTGCACTAAATTCTTTCTTTCAACCTCCCCAAAAAAACTCAGAAATATCAAGGCATATTTTTCCAAAATTCAAGCTTCTAAACATAAATATTAAAAAAAAAAAAAAGAAATCGAACCCTGAAGATCGCTAGGTTCTTGAGAACCCAGCAGATCATTGGGTTCTTGGCTGGGTTCTTAATCGAACCCAGTGATCTGCTGGGTTCGATAATCATAAGCAGCCATATGGGCAAATTTTTTCCCTCAACCAATTTTTGCCAAATTCTCAATGAGAACAGCCCACACAAACAAAATATTCACTGGTAAAATAATTAGCTGCAACCCAAAAATATCCCTAAAATTCAAGCTACTAAACATAAATATTTTTAAAAAAAAATCAAACCTAGCAAATCGAGAACCAAGCAGATCAAGAACCCAGCACGCTTGCTTGGGTTCACACCAAACCCAGCAGATTAAAGAACCCATCACGCTTGCCTGGGTTTGCACCGAACCCAGCAGATCGAAGAACCCAACACGCTTGCTTGGGTTCGCAAGGAACCCAGCGCCTGGGTGGGTTCCGAGGGGAAAGAGAAGGGAAAGGGGAAGGGAAAGGAGAAAGAGAAAGGGAAAGGAGAAGGAGAAAGGAAAAAGAAAAAAAGAAAAAGGAAAAAAAAATTTAAGTTTTATTTTTCACAATATTTTTTTATATTATTTTTTTTCCACGTCATTACTTTTTGGTTATATTATTTTCCACGTGGATTACTATATGACATGTCATTTGGTAACCGTGAAGTAACAGGCCACGTCACACAATTTTTAATGGAAGGACCAAATCAGGGTAAAAATGGTAAACAATAGGGATCAAATTGAGGATCCATACAATAGTTCAAGAACCAAAAAGGAGTTTTAACCTAAGAATAACGCTCCTAACTAGAGAATTTATGGAAATGAAATTTATTTTGTAAATTTTTTTATGTGACAGATTAATCGATAAAAACTCTCATTAAAAAAATATATAAAGGGAAAATAAGAATTACTTAAACTTTAATCATACGAGTAGTGAAGGCCTTTATAGTTTATACCAATAATTACAAACCTTCCTCGATTTGCTTCCGAGTTAGATTTATATGAAGGCGTGTAAACGGAATTTCTCCATATTGAAGTAAAGATTGTGGGTGACAATATACTAAGTGGCAATTAATGCGTTCTTTAAATTCATGGAGTTGTTTGATCGGTTAAAAGGGTAGAAACGGTCCAAATAGACTTACTGTGGGCACATTATTAGTGTAGATTACCATTGAAAACAAGAATTCGGCTACTAATTATCTAAATAACTTAATGATAATTTATTTTCATTACAAGTTATAAGAGATCTTGAGTTCAAGTCACATAGTATGTAGATGGAGTGAAATAAAAGATAAAATAAGGTTATCTCAGCAACTAACATAAATAAATAAATAAAAAAACCTAGAATTGCGCAGATTGGGCCTTCATATGGGATTGAGGTCCGAACTCGTATCCAAAATAATTATCTGGATTAAATGACAGGCTGCACATGAAATTATGCGACCCACCAATGAGAGGCCTATCAGCCCAGAAGATGAAATCATCAATTAACTCTTTAGATTAAAGGTTTGGTAGAAATTATTTCAAAAAGGTGACTTATTATCTTATAAGTATATAATTATAAAATAAGTATATTTAACTTGTGCCATAACTGTACAATTATAAAGGCATAAATTAATGGTACATTAATTGTTCATAATTTTCATTAATTTATACTCTAAAATTAATTTTATTTTCAATACTAATAATATAGATATAATTTTAATTTGATGCTTGATAAAATGAAAGTTAACTTTTAATCTTTTCATACTAAATAATTAAAATATGTACCATCAATGCATATATAAAATGCATATGTTAAAAAAATCATTGTAAAATAGACTATTTTTTTTAGAAAATATAAACAAAATATTGATTTAATATATTTACTCATTTTATATGATACATGGGACGTGGTAATATAAACTTTATTAGAATATAAAATTGTGTTTATCTCAACTTCGAGGATAGAATAAAATTTCAGGGCTGATGGCAAGAACAATGCCTTACTTTATTTAGTAATTGGAATTCATCCTAATAATAATAT